TGGCAACTTCCACCTTTTCATGTTCTCTGTTTGTATATATATCTTCTTAATATATGTTCCATTCTATGCATCTGATGAAGTGGGCTGTAGCCCACTAAAGCTTATGATCAAATAAATTAGTTAGTCTCTAAGGTGCCACAAGTACTCCTGTTCTTTTTGTGGATACAGACTAAGACGCTGCTACTCTGAAACCTGTTACATAGTTAAGGTTGTACCTAGCTTCTCATTATTATAAACTTGGATTTTGACTTTCCCCAGTTGTTTCACCCTCCCGCCCTCAATCCCACTTTTCAGACCCCTTTGATTTGAAGGGCTGTCAATAGGCAAACTGTAACTAACTGTGTTTAAAATGATATTGCTGAAGAGACCCTGTGGCCCTGATCTAGTCGTTCTTACTTGGGCAATAATCCCACTGAGCAAGAATGGTAGCCCTGAGCTCTAAAAAGTGAGCAATTGGTTTGATTTGTTTCTATAATGAAATAGGACTAAATCATACCTCATTTGTGAGAACAGCCCCATTGAAATCAATGGAACCACACTCAGAAAGGAGCAGGATTTGTTTCTTTGAGAAAGAGGGTTAGGCCCCTTAGCAACTATTGATAAGGATGGTCTTGCTCAGAAATTACTGAACCACCAGATATCAATTCAGATTGCAGCCGGGCCTGCTTTGTAGGGGACAGGAGAATACAGAGCGATCAGAAATCACTCCAGTCCACTCCAGAATTTGGATTTATACGTTATAAAATGAAGGATTTAAATTGAACCCGACATTTGCAATCGTAAATATCCCTTATCCAGAGATCTGGTTGAAATTTTCCAAATGAAGTTTTATTGATGAAAAATCAAAATTAATCCGTCCGTCCGTTCCCCTCCCCCCCCCCCCCCAAAAAAAAAATTTCCCACCCAAAATGGACATTATTGAAATTTTCTATTTAAAAAAAAGTAATTTACTGAAGACGCAGTTTGTAGTAAAAAAATTGATGGTTTTGAGTACATGAAAAATTTCTTCAATGGTTTCAGTGATGATTTCAATCAAAAATATCATGGAAAATTCCACAGAAGGTGAAAAATGGGTTCATTTTTACCCCTGAAAAACAGAACCAAATTTCAAAATTTTGAATGTTTTCCCAATTATTTTTCTGTTTTTTGACTGGCCCTGATTGTATGGTAGCAACTCCTTTCCATAAATTGATTTTTAAAATTTCTTCAACAGTGTGTTGTAATGGTGAAAATTACAAACAAACTACGAAAGAGAACAGAAGATGCTAAGAAGCATTTGCCTTATTCTTTTAAAATTATATGTCAAAACATTAGGGGAAAACTTTTCCAAATTGGGATTTCCCAGATGAGCAAAAATCTCAGACACTTTCTCCAGAAGAGAAATTACATCAGATTCTGACACGTTCTCCAGTTCAGTTGCAGCAGAAAATGAATTCAAGAAATTAAATAAGGGAAAAAGAAAAATCTCACCCAATAGTGTTGAGTCCTTTGAAGAGTTGTATAAATCTAATGAAGTTGAAGACACAGGCAAACCAACACATTCTACTGACCTGTTCGCTGTGGTAAAGTGCCAGGCTGGACATAGGAACACTCAGAAAGCTGCACGAGGTAAACCTGCTCCACTGGTTCTTTCAGCTGTCAGGGTATGTGTCCCTCCCCAGAAGAGGCACTGTAGATATTAGTTTTTATTTGGATACACGAACCCTGGACACAAACCCTCTTAATCAACAGTGTTTAGTCTGATGCCATCTTTATTTTTACAGTTCTCATCTACTGAAGAGATGCAAACAGTGCATAATGTATAACAGAGCAGGCAATTTGATGTTTATTTCCTGTGCAGTGATAGTTACCTTGTAATCATTTACATTGCTGTAAAGTCACTTAAGTCACCTGATTTTCAAAGCTGCTGAGTACCCAACAGCTCCCATCAACACAGGTTTTTATAACAGTTTGTGTGTATTGGAGTTGTGGGAAGCAGGTTCTAGTCGGCACTCTGCAGGTGTATTTTGTGTTATTCTGGAGAAGGGACAAGAAATGAATTGCCTATATCTAGACATTGCTGTAAAGTTTGTCTGATTTGTCCCTTAACCCAGAGCACTTTGTCTCTTCCCTTCTTTCCCCATTTTAAAGAGTTAACTATCTAATGAACTCAACAAGACCAATAAAATAGCAGGACTAGAAAGCTTCCAAAATCTAATTCTTCCAGCTGATAATACATCCACAAGTAGTGCTAGTTGTGAATATTTTGACTAAACATTTTTCCATTGGAAAATGCTAATTCATCAAAACCAAACTGTTAGCATCAGTTTTGACAAATTTCTTGTTTAGAAAAAAAAATATTGGGAAAAAAACATTTTGAAATTGTCAAAATGGGACATTTTTGAAATGAAAAATTCAATTTTTTGGTTCTAAATGACTTTTCATTTTGAAATTTAAATTATCGTAAAAAAAAAAGTCAAAATCAAAATGAAACATTTAGAAAATGTTGAAACAAAATGTTTCCACTGACCCAGACAAAAAAATTTAGGATTGTCTATGAAATTTTTTGATATTTTGACTTTTTGTCCTGATTTGGGATGGGACATATTTTTGAAATCTTGAAAATTTTCCTGGGATAAGAAAGTTGTTTCCCATCCCATCCTCCCCTATAGATTCCCAGATTCTCATATCTTCCTTTTGCATTCCGGCATCCTCCTTCTCTTTTGTTAGTCATATCCACTCTTTTCCTAAATGGCCTGATTCAAAGCCTTTTAAAACAATGAGAGCTCCTGGCCCTAAATAAATGATCTCTATTTTAAAATCTCGTGGGAACGATTATGCACTCTATAAGAAAGAGTATCTCCTCTTCTTTTTGTAGTTAATAGTCCCATCCATGCTGCTTGAACCTGCCAGCAGGTAGGGGATCTTGGGGGACAACTACTACACTGGTGGGGTGCAAAATAAACTTTATTAAGAAAATGCAAAAACAGAAAATTCAATAGAAAGGGGTACGGGGTTTGTTAAGTTAGACAATTGGGGAGGGGTTTCTTTTAGTAAATAGGATAGGGGGTTTCAATAGTGGGGTCCAATACAGTGGGGTCCAATACAGTTGGTAACCAATTAACACTGAAGCATAAATGTTACAGGTAGCTAACAGTTCCTATGTAAAGGGTGTGTCACAGCAGCATATAACCAACTAACAGTTATGGGTAAAATGTGTTACATAACCAAGAACTCTAGGTAAAAATATGTCACAGTGGTGTAAATGTAAAATGTGAGGTGTGTTAGAGAAAAAGGGTAACCAATGGGGTTTTATGCTAGCCTTCAGTAATACAATTGAGGTTTGGCAGCAGCAGGAGCGGGGTGAGCATGTGGGGGAAGGGATTAAAAGAGAGAGAGAGAGAGAGAGAGAAAGGCAGTGGTAGAGGAGTGAGGTTGGGGAATGGGGGAAGAGGAGCACGTGGTGGA